GAAGCAATCACCCGGTCAACCTTCAGTAACTTGGGCGCGTCTCTCGACTTCGGTAACACCCCCAGGTTTGCACGAGACACTAATGCGTCAAGAAATGCGAGGGAACAGCGCATAGCCTCTTTATCATCTAATTCCAAACTCCGCGAGAGCCATCCACTTGCTTCTCTTGGCTCGAACGCAAGAACCTCCAATATCTCCCGGATGCCTTCCAGCTCGGTTGCCAGCAGAGGCAAGAAGGGTAAAGCTACTGCGCTGCTTGGTTCTAGACCCCATCTAATTAAGCCACTAGGCACCGGTGTACAGGAGGCCAAGTGTAAGTCAAGCTTTTCCCCAGGGCAAGTGAGAAAACCGTGGCTAATGTATTTACACTTCAGCTATCAATGGTATGCGATACAATCCAAACTCGTTCTCTTGGGAGGGGAATGAGAATTTGGTTCGTGCCTTTGACACAAGTGCACCAAAATCTCCAAAGCCAACACCCGCTCTCATCACAAATATCGGAGCCATGCAGAACGTGCAGGTTGTTGGCGGGATGGTATTTGACCCGCGACGTATGTGCTGGCTGAAACTGGCGCCGTCACAGCCTGGGCAGGATGGGTTGGTGGCTGTCCAGGACGAAGATGATGTATTTGCTGGTCTCGATGACTTGAAAGAAGGCTCTGACATGGTGGGTGGGCGATCATCAACTAATCATGAGGACCTTTGTCTTGCAGCAAGCGGAGACGACCGAAGCTACGGCGGCTCCTCAGACGAATGGCCTATAACGGAGGAATTTGATGTTGGGCCCGAGTTCATCAGGAGACAGCGCGCCGAGGAGGATAAATGGAGGCGCAAGGTGGAAAAATGGACGAGACGTGATTGTGCAAAGCTCGGAGATGGCTGGAGATGGGCTATCCGAGATTTGGTACGGTTTAACGGGACTGTCAATGCCCCGGACGTTCACAATTTATGAGAGGCTATTGACGCGGCTGCGGCCAAGGGTAGGCTGGTAGATCGAGATACCACATCTGCAGCGGTGCGGCTTAATTCTGCAGCCACATGATCAAAGCCGGTGTCTACAGGGTGTCCCTCGCATAAGGCTCTATAATGCCATATTCATGCTCATTTATACGACGTTACGAAGAAAATGTGCGGTTGTTTGTCCTTGAAGAATTTCCGAATGCTGTACTTACATTTAACGAGCTAAGCAGACATAAATACAAAGTCTGATGAATCTGAGACATCCTGCACTCTTGAAGAAATGCGAAACTTTAGGTACCGGCTGGATCAATCAAATCCTGTATAATCTCACTTGGTCATCGTCAGGTCACTTTCGGTCTTTGAGGAAGCGGGTAGCACTACCGTACCTCATGTTGTGATGGTTGATCTACAGCCATACGTATTTAAGTGGCTTATCCGGATTCTACCCAAATCTTCAGAAGCATATGAAAGCCCTGGCCTCTTGATTCCGGGGGTGTTGTTGGAGTGGGGGTGCTAGATCATATCGCTATCTAGGAAGTAGGTGCGCCCCTGCAGCGAGCGGCCTTGCTTAATCTCCTGTGAACCAAAGCACCACTCCGATGATCTTGTTCTACTTCAACTTTTGTTTTTCCTCACTAAGTAGCCTTACCGCAGTATTGACCGCCTAAGGTCAACCGCCTAAGACCCTCTGTAACTACTGCCTATCCGCCTACCTACCTACGAAACCACTCCCCCCGGGGTCGCCTCTTCTTTCTTTTAGGGCCCTTGTAGCCCCTTTAGAGTCTTTTAATCACGTTATTTTATCAACCCCTCCCTCCCCCCCTTTCCCCCTTTACATTAGGATCTTTAGGGCTTTTAGAGGCCGAAAGTATTACTATTAGGGTTCTTTATCAGAGAATACCTCTTATTATTCTTTTCATTAGAGTTGTTGGGGTTGGTATAGAGGGTTGATCCCCTTACTACTTGTTATTCTGCCGGTAGATTTGTTTTGCTAGAGTGGCCACTATATCCTTCCGTACCCTGTAGCAATGCCGGTTCATTGGTCCAACCAACACTAATAACTACAGTACGCAGATATACACCCGCTGCTTGAGTGATTGTAGGCACTACACTTGTGCAGCAAGGTATGCTATGCTGTATATGCTGTCTACGCTGTAGTTATACGCTTTTCACAAAACACCTCATGCCTTCGCCCTGATCACGACTACCACCTTACCTGCGTCTCCGATAGCTGCATGGGTTTGTTTGCCAGGTTTACAAAGTATAAAACCCACCATTGCTCGCCCTGCCGTGGCTCCTGGCTGGTGCACTAGCTCGCACTTTCACACTCGTGTCAGCTGCCCTTCGCTAATCTTCCCACCATAGAATATCCGGCTTCCGACCCATCGGAAAGTCGATATAGCACACGAAAATACATACCAAGGTGTTCTTTACAGTATATAACTATGCCTGCTCGAGAAGCCGTACACCCGATCATGGATAGAAGTAAATCTTAATTAGAGGTCGCTGTGGTCAATAGAGTCAAGTGGAGTGGCAAATGCTAGATCACATCTCAGCCACGATCAATCTGCTGTCCACGATGACCACGGGAGACATACTCAACTCCTTCCCGGTAACATGGAAGATGGACGATAATTGTGGCGTGGCAGCTTGGTCTGAGAGCTATTTGCTATGAACTGCCAGCAAGCCCCAATAGCCCAGAGCCTTGCATGTACAACGAGTCAGCTCCTCATCAAAACGTGGGTCATACACAGTCTGATGTAGTATCCTAAATCCCAAATTAAGTAGCAGAACTGTGCCCCTGAGGCTACACTTTGAGCAGACAAGAACAGGTACGTACTGCACACGGTCCGAGACCCGATTAGTTAAGAAAGGTCAAGGAGAAGAGCAAAAGAATTATGAGGGATACGGCGGGAGAACAAAATAAGGCGGAACCCTGTTCATGGGTCTAGTCCTATAGTCGCCTGGAGGTTCGATGCAGTGGCCCGGCTATCTGCATGAAAAGAATCGTCTCATCTCGCTCTCGGCCATCGCGGCTCGTGGCTCTTGACTGTGGCTATTTAGAAATTGACTAGTCAATCTGGGAGCTTCTTTCTAATGGCATTAAATGCACAAAGCCCATGGCTTATGTACTGCCGTGAGCAAGAACTTCTGTAAATCTCTACAATCCATACTCAAGTTGGTTATAGCATACAGGTGAAGTATACAAGAGCCTCCTAGTGGCAGCGACTGAGAAATATTGGCATTGGAATATCCGAAGAACACGTAACGCGAGAAGCCTTTGTCCAGCATAAGGCGACAAAACCCTTTCAGGTGAATCAGGCACCACTTCCCAGCCTGGAGTGGGGGACGTAATGCCTCTGCTACAATCTCGATTCTAGCTACCATCCCCCCTGCACAATCTCCGATCACCTCGGTATCATGTACTTGGGGCGTCAGGGATAGCATAGGGAGGCAACCTGGGAACATCAATACAGTACGGAGTACGATATATCCCGGAGCCTGGCTGGAAACATTACGCATCCTATATGCTCGGGCAGTTCAAGGTTATCAACATCCGCGTCTTAGGCCCGACGCTGAGCATAGAAAGCGGAAATGGAAGTGACCATGCAAGGAATAAAGCCTAGAGTATTGAATACTCGACTACTTCGTGCTCTTCGTCCATTCGGGGGTAATCCTCCTCGTACTTTACTGTCAGATACACCCCTCCTGCCTTGGTTAGCCTCAGGCGTAATTTCAGACCTCGTACTGGCCAAGTAAGGGAGGAAGAAGGATTGACTAGGATGGGAGAACTCTCGCCCGACAGCTTGCAACACTTGGCATTGGATGAGAAAGGAAAAAGAAAGGAAGAAAGAGCAAGAGAGCGAGGACGGACAGAAACGAAGGAAGCGAGTGACATTGGCAACAAACATCAATATCATGAATTGCAGCAGGTTGTTGCGCAGTACGGTAGGCATCGCGTGCCGAGTACCGCGGTGTAAACCCCTATCTAGGTCTCTTACACAGCTACTAGCTACCTGGCATTTCAACCCACTCACTATTCCAGGGCCGGTAACTCAAAGGTAGCAAGCAGTCATGGCTAGGCAAGCAGGTAGGTGCCTTTCTATCCTATATTGTAATCTCCATATTCAACAACTTCCTGTGACCTCAGTCCCCCCCTCCCCTGCTGGTGACCTATGCATTACCCTGGCATTGCCCATGTCATGTCCGTCTTGCTCCTTGACGTAATATGACTTCCATGCTTGAACCCTGTAAGTACCACAGATCTTTTTGACTACCAAGAGTCTTACTGCATGTCTCTCCCGCATTTGGTCCTTGAGCTAGGAGCTGATGCCCTACAGGTCGTCTTCTGATTTCGCGAATAGTCTCCCTGACTACTATTGCCTCCTGTTGTGCACTTAGTTCTTGTTCGTCGAGTATGCTGCTCCGTCTGCAACGGTGTCCATGGCCGCCAGGAGCACTCCATGCGATCAAGAATAAGCAATTCTCTCTCTCTCTCTCTCTCTCTCTCTCACATATGCCTAGGGTCATACCGGAGAAAGGGCCTACCTACGAACCTGGGTAGGCTGGTGGTGGTCTTAATTGCACCCCTGCCTGATAATTCCTCTTGTTTGGATACATATCGCACTTTCGAAGTTTATATCCGAGTTGCACTGAGGAGCTGTTGTACCGAAAACTACTTCAACAGGCCCCCAATCAATTCCATGCTTTTTCTCCAGATTATTTAACTGGCACTGAGCTCCCTTCCTAGATTGATGCTCAAGCTTTGTCCTTGGTTTCGTGCAAGCTAAAACGAGTGTCTTTGAGAAGTGCAGTACTAGTACTGGTGTCGTGCCCTCAGCCTTTTTCCGTGCTTGTCTTCTGCGGAGAGCTTTCCTTGCCTTGTCGCTCACCCACCCCCCATTCCCTTCTCGCCCAATTCTTGTGGGGCCACGCTCGTCAAGGCAATTTTCCTGTGGTGGTGTCACCCAGCTTGCTGTCTCGACTCGGACTAGCTGTCTTTGAAGCTCCAACTTGCTTGCGGCAAGCTTCAGACCAGCATGAGCGGCTATACAAGACGCAATGAGAATCACGATGGTTACAATTTCACCCATCAAACGGATCTACCTCTTCCTTACAGCCATAACGACAATAATGAATTCAGTGTAAACGAGCCAGGGGCATTCAGTTTCAGCCAACCATCTTTTCATCCTTTTACACCACAGTTTACTTCACCATACAGTCACCCCAGCCTATCAACAAGCACGCATCATTTTTCCTTGAGCAACCATTCCCCAGCGCATTCCATTCCTTCAACGCCGGATCATGTGCCCCTGCAGCAGCATCCTACGCAGTATTTCTCCCAATCGCGCTATATTCAGTCACCCAGCTATTTTACTCTTCGTGAAGCGCTCGGTGATGCGGAAATCGAGGCCCAGGAGTCTAGCAATGAGCACATAATGCTTTCAGAACCAGTTGTACCACCACTAGAAGGCTTTCCAAATGTGAGAGAGTTTGACCAATTAATGAAAAGGTGTGGTTTTCACTATTTTTCCGAGACGTCTAATACCAATAGTATGTCATGTGGATACTCATCAAGACGCTTACTAGTTACGTCGACGACTTATCTGTCAAGAAGCAAGACAAGGCATTGATCCATGCTAAAAGAGCGCGAAATATCAAGACCGTCCTGTTAGACCCTAAAGATACAGCTATAGAATCAGCTCAATTTCGGTAAGATCATATCCTACCCTCATATCAAGATGAATATTACAGCAGCGCTGTGCCTTTATCATATGTCATATCACCCACCTTAGCGTCTGCTGAGGATATCTTTCATAGATTCTGGGTAAAGAAGATGTTCAAGCTTCAAGCTGTTGGTCCTGGAGTATCGGATGTCAGTATCTGTATCCAATTCACAGATTCCCCTAGATGCTTACCCGGACATGCCATCACAGTATACGAGGTTGATCTGCCACGAAGGAAAACCGGTGGCCATTCGAGAGAAGCTATTCAAAATTCTAACAAGAGCACATCAACAATGTCAACATGGTGGAAGGGACAAGACCTCAGCTCAAGTTCGACAGATCTATTCGTGGTGAGTGATATGTATCGCGCAATTTAGAGCCTTCAACGTTGTCCTTGAGTTCTCCACTCATGTACATTGCTACCCATACTCTTTATCAACTAGTACGCAGTCTGACTTCTAGGAATTCACGTCAAATTCTCGAAGGGTCCCGAAAGAGCTCATCTCACGCTTTGTCAAGATATGTCCTACTTGCCAAGTGCGTCGCGGTGGCTCGCGATTGACGCCCCCTAGTTCAAGAAGGAGCTCTCCGCGCTTAGAGACAGTGTCGCGCTCGTCAGCACTCCCGTCGCCACCAATTCCTAGGCGCGACTCTAATTTGAACGTACAATTGTCATTGGACAGATCCCAGGCTGATTTGTTTAGTCAATTCAACAGTCATGGTAATCATGGTCATTGGTTAGACAACCAAAGAAACCTACAAGAGAGGCAGCCGTTGCCTTCGACTAATCTACGCTCATATGGAGTTGGAGCGATGAGCCACCTTCCGGGATCTGTCCCGGGAGTTCTAGAGCCATTCTAAAGTGACTTGTCGGTTTCACCTCCTCATATTGGTTATGGCACAAGATATCCTTCAGCACATGGATCATCTGGTCAAAGAAGCTATTGAGATCCAGTGGATCCATGAGGAGATCCAATTTACCTTGAATCCCAGCACAGCTAACAATTACAACACTGCGAGGGATCAGCACGCCCAGCGAAAATGCTCTAGTCTGTTTTTTAATATCTATGTCTAGTTTGTCTAGTCTTCCCTTTAAATTGAGTTAATGACATGAAGTATGTGTCGAAATTATACTCGTTTGTGAATTGAGTAGAGGACCTTGTTTTAAAGATTCTTTTAACAGTGCCACCCTTTGAGAATAGAAGTCTAGAGTTTTCCAACTATAATACAGATTGACCACCAGGAGTGGGCAACGACGAATACATATTCCGTGACGAATTCTCAGAATATAATGGATGCTAAAAAGCACGATCGAAAGCAAAGGGAAAGACAGCATCAAACATTGTCCTGCTGATAGATGATAATGTGGTTCTCTGTTAGAGTAAAGTCAAATGAAACTCCGCAGATCGAGCAGCCTTATGTCGTTTGTGGACCAAAGTAACCACGGTCCAACCTTGCTTAGACCGGGAGTGAGAACTTTTTACCCTTCACCACCCTAGCTCAGCAGTCAGTACCTTTAAGAGCCAGCTTGAGTGGCTGGAATAACTCACTTGGTATAGTAGATATAGAAGAAATCCGAATATAGTAGTGTTTGTACGATGCCAGCAATGACCGGAATGGAGTGAAAATGACGTTCAGCATAATACCTGTAGATCCAATTGGGGATGTAAAGAGCGCGGTAAAGGCCTAGCGCAAAAAGATAGTGTGTTGTTATGGTGTCGGCTTCTCCGGTGCGTTGAAGCATGAAAAGTTGCGGAAGAATAGCTACTGATTCTAACCATATGGAAAACGTCCAAAGAATCTGCACGAAGTTCTGAGCGGACAATTCAGATACTTGACTTGGAGACTGACCTCGGAGATAGTGTAGTCGTGGGGGAACAATAAAGCCAAAAGGGCACTGAAACAGAGAAGATATTGCACCTTGAAGGTATCGAGGTTCGGATCATGCGTGGGCTTGTACTCAGTGAGCATGAGATAAATGATATAAGCTGAAGAGCCTATGAACAAGATTTTGAAAGTTGTATTGTAGAGGGAGTCCGTAAAAGCCCAAAACAAATCTTCAGTCAAAACACAGGATTAGAGAAGAATATTTGCACGTTGGCAGCACGACTCACCAAGATATCGCGTAATGAAAACCATTAGGTATAGAACCTGAGATTTAAATGATAGTCCCGAGCAGCTCTAATATCGCAATCAATCACCCGGTTGGAGGACCATGCATGCTGCTAACTTACACTCGACGACTTCATTTTCTGCAAAAGAATAAAGATAGATGCGAGATGAGAGAAATCGGCTAGTTTAAACAAGGTTAAAATGTGAGTATGCTCCTGGAGGGCGCGATTGGTACTTACCTGCTAACCTGAAGATGTTCATGGTGAAAGATAGGTATTGGCTTTCAATCCAACCAAACGAAGAATTAATTAGAAGAAGATTTATCTGAGAAGACGCAGGTTCAAGATAGCCAGGAAACTATTGGGGGTGAACAGAAGCTCGGGCAAAATGACTTGAGAATATCTATCTCACTTCCTAAATGGCGGTTGACTTAATGTTGACACGAAAACAGCAAGCTCCGCGCGACATGGGAGAAGGGAAGGTGCGCCCCACACTTCCTGATACATAGTTAGTTGGCACTTACTCTTAGAATAGGTACGAAGACTCGATGCCGTAATACAGGATGCCGGAGCACGGAAGGCCAATCAAAGAAGACTACCAAAAACTTTTGAGGAACTTCGGGTTCGATCCACCTGGCAGAATGAAGTGAGTACCACTTTTGGTTAGTAGCTTGGTTATGGACTAACTTGGTACATATGTGTACGTACGTACTGTATATCTAGTTATTGTGCAAATCTGATAAGTCACGGGACTACTACTTCTACTCGTAATATTTTCGATGTACTGTACGTACTCATATAATCATTTCCCCCGCAAAAACCATGTGGGATATCAGCAGTACGTATACGTATACCATTCAGCACCACTTGTCCGATCTTCCCAGAACAGTTTTCCACATCGTAGAGTTGGTAGTGGTATAGTGAAAGTCATAGTACTTTGGTTGTTTAAACGACTCTACACATTTGAGAGCAGTGCTGTTGATAGGCAAAAATCCAGCTAGCGAGAGCGGAAGCTACAGGTCTGTACGGAACTTGATACGGAGTCTGCCGGAACAAACCCACAACATAATCATAAAGTCACAACCCAGGTATCAAAGTCAGAGATCGCACACTTTAAAATGTCGTGCTAAGGTGTATGCTGTCGCTGTCACTAATTCGCTGCAGATGCCCCTCTGCCAATTCGCTCTTCAGCGCACAAATAGAACTTTCTCTGTCCAGTTTGTCCCATTCGCGCGCACCAAGGCGAATCAGTCTTCGATGATCGACTGTCTGCTCAATGAGTCTGTCTTTATCGGTATCCAATTGAGAGAGGCGTTTTTCCATAGGGCTGTTGAGGCCAGAGGGAAAGGGCCTGCCTTCCGTTACAATTGCGCGTAGTCCGGACAAGTGGTTAGGAACCTTCTGCACGCGTGATTGAGTACTTCCAGGGACACTATTCTGTCTGCCAGACGATTGTCGATTTGTATCGGCTATTGGGGTTGTAGGGGGAAGACTATTGCGCGGGCCAGTTGGGGGAGACCCATGGAGTCCAATGGATGCACCTCCGCGACGCGCCGATGATGATAACCACGAATTATCTTTGAAGCTCGCACCACCACGGGGCCGAGTCGGGGCTGATAGTAGAGATATGTTCGACCCGCGATTTGGCTGCGGCAAAATCCTGAGGCCGTGTGAAGGACCAGACGGTGGCGCTTGGGTTAGTGCGGCGTTGTAAGCTTTCGGCTGTGTTGGGACACTATTGGGATGGAAAGCAGCGGGCTTGTTTGCATTTCCAGTGAATTGGGCATCGAAAGACCGACGTCGATCATCTTGGTCTGTACTTCGCCTCTCTGTAGCGGTGCTCGCATGGTCTAGGGCAGGCACCCTTGGCCTCACTTCCTCATGCCTGGGCTTATCTTTCAACGAACCTGACCGATCTTCGCGGGGTTTTGGATAGTCTGAATTTCTAGGTTGACAGCGAATAGGTGTACGATGCGACGGAGATCGATCCCGAGTTTGGTCGATAAAGGCGTTCGATCTCTCATTGACCGGAGATGACCGTCTCGAATTGGGTAAAGAAGCAGAGGCCGAGGTATACGCCGGAGATGGTTCACCCTTGGCAGATGGTGATGGCCGCTGTTGAGATACGCCGATTTCCGGTGCCCGATCTCTGCGGACCGTGTGTAATGGACTGCGTGGTCGGTGCAGTATGGGGGTGCGGCCACTGCTATCTCGAGCTGGCAGTTCAGCTTTTGAATACTTGTCTGCGGACAGAGAAGGACGCTCTCTACGGGGTTGCCTGAAATTTTGACTGGGGGGTGACGCTTCTCGCAATCTTTTCGGTGTGCTTCGGCCCCAACTCATCTCCCGATACGGGCCATCGCCATAAGGTGATCTTGATCGCCAGAGTGGCTGATGTGGTGATCGATTTCTGCCATCCCTCCTGGGTGAGAAACGGCGGGGTGGAGAGGATGTCTTCTGATAAGGGCCCATTACAGTATCTCGACTGTAGAAATGAGGGCTACGTGAAGGACGGCGCCTGGAAGGAGCCGGTGACCGACTACGAGCACGGCCATATGTCCGATTACTGGGAACCCATGTGTCCGCGACGAGACGTGGAGAACGAACCCGGGGAGGCGATCTACTGCGACGACTATAACCTCTAGAGGCAGCAGGTCGATAGCTTTCACCGCCGCGGTGATCATCAAACCTAAGGTTGAAACATCATCAGCCTCAATCTGTTGTATGGAAAGATAGGAAAGGGCATGTCGACCAAACCTTCTATTGCGATCCCAGTCCATGCTGTCCAAAGGTTGTTGCAGCTTCTGCTGGATTCACAAGATAATCGCGCTGTATGTGTCGATGAGACTGTGTTCTCTCGGTGTTATATTGAAGAGAGTAATACTGAATCCAACATCATTAGCTAGAGTTAGGTTCGAGATTGACTACTACCACTGCGGGTACTGTACAAATGCATTTCCCCGGGCTTGGTCCAGAGACGGCATGTCCACCGCCTTCCTGATTATTGCTTCTGTTCCATATGTTAATTCGGATTTTATAATAATAATGCAGTCTTCTGAATTTCGTCTAATAAAAATAAACTACTTGAATATATTGGTAGATGATAAAGGCTACTGTACTATTATATGCAGAAGTACTAACTTATATAAGTGATTCGATGACTTATGGGCGGGCAACATGGAACAATTTGTTATTTTTATTTGTCTATAGCAATAGAGGTTGTCGGCAGACCTGGAAATTCCCAGTTGTAGGGCGATGTAGAAATCTGATGTAGTTAAGAATATGAGTATATTGATTGTTAAAGACTAAAAGATGGAGAATTAGTCAGGCTACTACTTTATAATAAATAAACTATTAGATCTGTATTTTTGATTTTTTTATATTTAATATTCGAGATTAATAGTATCAAATTAGTAAAAATAAACTGGTTTCTTTATATTTATTTTTTAAGCTTGTTATGATTCCTTATATTAATATCATATATTATATTACTAAAAAAGCTTCTTTTCTACTAAAACTATTAATAGTAATAAAAGTTGGTTTCAAAGAAACTAAAATTTAATGTTTAAAATAAGGAATAAATAAATCTAAATTTAAAGTTTATTAATATACTTATTACTATAGCTGTATATTATTGTCAAGCCCGCGGCTACTACACCCGCTGGGCACCGCCTTCGGCGGCACCCTTAAGGTCTGCGCCTCTTACAGATAGCCTATACAATCAAGCTTTCTATATATAATTTATTTGCT